CATCAAAATTGAAATATACACAGGGTGGGGAAAAGTAGGTTATTGAAAATGAACAGACTCCAATTTCTATATCAGGGCTACCCCTGTCACGAGTGAATTGTTCTCAGTTTCTTGGTTTATGTACTCTTCCAGGTTGTAAATTTAAAGATATTAGAAGAGATACCCAAAAAGATACAGAAGAACTAAAGAGTTTTGATTCACAAAACATATTTGCTTTCTGCACCAGAGGGTAACTGTGAAAATACAGAGTCCCAAACCTTTTGGACTTTTACCAGCAGCGTGGCATTGTTACTCATCGTCCTGTCCCAGATGGAGGGACTCCTGACATAGCCAGCTACTGTGAATAATGGAGGAGCTTCCAATCTCTCTTAAAAATAATTTAAAAAACCATAAGGCCCGACCCATATGGCTCACTGGACTGAGCATCACCCCATACACCAAGAGGTCACTGGTTGGATTCCTGGATAGGGCACATGCCTCCCCACAGTAAGGGACGTGCAACATTGTTTCTCTTTCATCTATGTTTTCATCTCTCTCTTCCTCTCCCTTCCCCCCTCTCTCTCTCAAAAAATTTTTAAAAAATAACCAAAAAACCACTATGGAGGAGTTGGGAGATCTTGTCTTTAGCCACTTGTCTCATACTATATCTGTCTGATACAGTATCTCCACAGCAAGCCATAGACAGCCCATGATGATCTGGAGCAATACAGACCATAAATCAATATAATTATCTTCATGGGTTCCAGGACAAGCTCGCTGCACATCTATCATCACGAGAGTCACTATCAATGTCTGTATTGAGATTTTTTTTAAAAAGAATTTTGAATTAACTCAAATTTGAGTTGCTTAACACACTTTACTACTTGTTATCAACTTGATTGTAAATGCATATGTGAAGTGCCCAGCCGTAGTGGATCAGTTGGTTGAGCATTGTCCTGTGCACCGAAAGGTTGCCAGTTCGATTCCCAGTCAGGGCACATACCCAGGTTGCTGTCTGATCCCTAGTCTGGGCATGTACAAAGACAACTGATTTATGTTTCTCTCTCACATTGATATTTCTCCCCACCCCCCTCCCCGCCTGCACCTCTCTCTAAGCATGTCTTCAGGTGAGGATTTAAAAAAAAAGTATATGTGAAGATATTCCTAAAGCTTTTATTGACAAGAAATTTTTAAAAAAATGGCTCCATTTCTGGGTCACCTCTTCCAGTGGAAAACCTGACGGTCTGAAATCCCCTGGTCCTCCAGGATTTGTTGCTGAATAACTTAGTTTTTACTTTTTTTATTTGTCAACTATTATAAATATATTTTTAATTTTTGTAAAGCAGTTTGTACATATGATACAAATTTCAAAAGTATGCAGCGTAAAGTACAGTTATTGGCACAACTGATAAAAGTGGTTGCGGTCCTCGGATTCGCTGGTGATGATTCATCCTATTGATTTCCTGATTTTCACCATTGCCTTACAGTGGACACGAGGGAGAATGTTCTTATTTGTAAAAAATACACTATAAAGCCTTTGAAGATGATCAGAAAGCCTATTCACCTTATTCTCAATGGATGTAGGGGGTAAATGTGGGTTTTTGTTAATCCTCACTGGAGGATATTTTTTCCATTGATTTTGAAAGAGAGAGAGAGAGAGAGAGAGAGAGAGAGAGAGAGAGAGAGAGAAATGTTGATTGGTTGCCTCCTGCATGCGCCTCCACCCATGAAGGGGATTGAACCTGCAACCCAGGCAAGTGCTCCTGACAGGAACCGAACCCGAGGCCCTTCAGTGCGCAGGCCAACACTCTAACCACTGACCCCCTGAGACACACTGACCAGGATAGGGAAAAAATGTTTGTACTACAATTACAGCATTTTTATTTCAAAATAAATTTTTTAAAAAATATATTTTATTGATTTTTTACAGAGAGGAAGGGAGAGGGATAGAGAGTTAGAAACATCGATGAGAGAGAAACATCAACCAGCCGCCTCCTGCACACCCCCCACTGGGGATATGCCCGCAACCAAGGTACATGCCCTTGACTGGAATCGAACCCAGGACCCTTCAGTCCACAGGCTGACGCTCTATCCACTGAGCCAAACCGGTCAGGGCTTAAAATAAATTTTAAAATAATATTATATATATGCAAAAGAAAGTCCTCCTTTATGAGAGTAAACTACTGTTACCTATGTCTTCATTTCTTGTGTATCTTTCAAAAAATCTTCTGTAAACACACGCATATGCAGTTTCTTTGCCCTCATTGCATAAGTGGTAGCATCCTCCACCCACTGACCTCATTTATGTCACTTAGCAAATATGTGTCTGACTTCAATCACTTTGCTGGCTGCCCAATGTTCCATCGCAAGGAGGAGCAGCATAAATGTGGTGCTGTCACAGCATCTACTACAACCAAACTATGCTTCCGTGAGTGTCCTGGGACCTACGTCAGCCTATAGCTTTTACCCTTTTTATAACCTCCTTTCTGATGATAAGATGTATGTATGCTTATTCAGAATTTTGAATAACAAAATTAAAATCAGCCCCAATTTCACGATCCAGGTAATAGTCACTCTTAGTATGTGTGTGTTTTCTTCTAGCCC